GCAACATGTGCCGGTTGTGATGTACTCGTCGTTGTCGTTGCGCCTCATAATGCGCATGGCAAGATTATGAGTGCCGTAGCACCAATCGGCACGACCCTCCAAGTGTGTACCAACCAGGTCAGCTGGATAGAGGCATAAATCCATGTTGAACCCATGCAGGGATCCCGCTGGGTCCGGCGTATGTTGCATGAATGGTCGGTGCGCCTGAATAGCTACCCTTTACCCATGTAATCCCACCAGCCCTTTGGGCGACAGGTGGTCTAGGGAGATTCTTCTTCCCTCTTCCAACGACTTCCCACAATCCCTCTTCCCCTTCGGGGAGGGGTTTACCCCTCCCCCTACCCCCTCCCCTGGACCTGGGCGGGAGCGGCCGCGATCGGTTAGAGGGTCCTTTTTCGCTGCTTCGGAAGGCTATTTGTGGACACCCCTCACAGGGATCGTGGCCCCCGAGGGGGGGGCCAGACGGTGGACCCCCCCCTCGTTTGACCGACCACCTCCAAGATGGCCCCCAGGAGGCCCTCCAGGGCTCCCAAGAGGCCCCCAAGAGCGCCCCAAGAGGCCCCAATATGGCCCCAAGACGGCCCCAGAGGCCCCCAAGACGGCCCTAAGAGGGCCCAAAGACGGCTCAAGTGGCCTCCAGGACGCCCAAGATGGCCTCCAAGACGGCCAAGATGGCCCCAAGAGAGCCCAAGATGGCCCCAATATGTCTCCAAGGCGGCCCAAGGTGCATCCAAGACGGCCCAAGATAGCCCCAGGATGGCCCAAGACGGCCTGAGACGACCCCAAGGGGCCTCCAAAACGGATGTGGCTCACTTTTGGATTGCTTGCTGCTGCGCCTCCCTTATCAAGGCAACTCGCCTGGCGGCTGCTTTGGGATGGGCTGGTGGGGATGCGCGAAGCGTGAGGAAATTGCGTGCGTCGAAGTCTCGCACGTCGGGCTCGGCGTCGCCTCGAACATAATCTCGACACATGCGGCGGGCCAGGCGGCGAGGATGAGGGCCGCCAGGACGACGATCGACGGACGCCCCATGTCTCTCGCGGCTGCCCCTGGGAAGAGAGGAAGCTGGAGGCACGCGTGCGTGCTAAAACGCAAGTAAGTGTGCAGGATCGCCGTTCAAACAGGAGCGGCTTGAACCAACATGAATACGCTCCATCTCGGAAACATATTGGAGCCTTCGCGGGGCACTTTTGAAATCTCGACGCCAAGCCTTGAAGTTATTGGCTCTCTTTTTTTTCCTCTCTCTCTCTCTCTCTCTTTTTTCTCTCTCTCTCTCTCTCTCTCTCTCTCTTCTCTCTCTCTCTCTCTCTCTCTCTCTCTCTCTCTCTCTCTTTCTCTCCATTTTTTTAATCTCTCTCTCTCTCTCTCTCTCTCTCTATCTCTCTCTCTCTCTCTCTCTTCCAGCTCTCGCAGGGCACGGGGCATGGGGGCCCAGAGGGCTCCAATGCGGGCCCAAGGAGACGCACATGACACCTGCGACGCGATGTTTGCGCATGTTCTGACGGGGCCCTCTGGGGGCCTCATGGAACTTTTCTCGGAGCCATCGCGGGGCCCTCTTGGGGCATTGAGGAAGTGCCGGGACGGAACCCGACACCTCCAAAGCGAGCCTCAGAAGCCCTCCGTGACCCACGCGCGCGAAGTCGGCACCCCCGAGGCGGGCGTTCGCCCTGGAGGTGAGCGTTCGCCTTGAAGGTCGTCCCCAGGGGGGGGGGTCGTTTGTGGTGGCCCCAGGATCGAAGGACGAGGAGAACCCCCATGGGGGTCGAGGACGGGGTCGAAGGACGGGGTCGAAGGACGAATCCATGTTGAACCCAGGGACCCAGGAAGTTGTTTCAGGGGTCGTAACACCACAACGCCAGAGGTCGGCGCACTCCCCCTACACGCAAGAGGTCGGCGTGTTCTCCCTTGCGCGGAGGGAGGAGGCGGCAGCACTCGACAAAAAAACGGCGGCGAAGCACTCGACAACGAACACTCGACAAAAAAACGCTCCCCCTACTGAACAACTTTCTGTTCTCTGCGCTCTGGGGCCACATTCCAAGATCTCTTGGGCGCTGCCGCGCGCCTCGGTCGCCTCGAATGGTTTTTCCAAATGCAATGCGGCTCCTGAGATGGACCAAGAAGGCACCAAGACGCGCCAAAAGGGTCTTTTTTTTTTTCGTTAGCGGGCGCGCAAGATCGATCGCTACGCCGTACAATGGCCCGTTCCACAGCAGCCCCTCGATGGACAAGTCAACATCGAAGGCCGCGCCGGTGCAGGCAATGAAAACGCGGGGGCGGGAGGCATGACAAGTTGACCAGCATACTCGCCATGCCGGGCGCGAGGGCGAAATTAAACAACGAAACCCAGAGAGATGCGCAATATACGCAAAACGTTGGATCCGCAATGCAAAATGCAAGCCCGGCGAAAGTGAAGGCACGAACGTAAACCAGTAGCCGGGAAAAGGGCTCAGCCAGGGGAGAACACGTTCAGACGACTTCCTGCCGCAGGATTCAGGGGGAGGATTTGCTAGAACGGAGGCAGGGGTGCAAGCCATTACTTGCCGCGTGCCCGAGTTCACGGCAAAACCAACAGCCTGCGCTGCCATATGCCAAAAAAACGCGTGTACACATTACTGCCGTGCGCCGCGGGCCCCTGTCATCTCCTGACTGCCCAAGGGCCCCAACACATACCGATGTCCAGAGCTCCCTGTGTCCATCATACTCATGTGAAGAGTTATTATGAAATGCATTCCTCGTGACCCAAGGGTGACGCTGTGCAGCGATGTATACAGGGGTTCAAGGGGTGCAAGTCAACAACTCCGTCAGTACACGGGGTACTGGCAAGTTCGACTGCCTGCGCCTCCTTCCTGTTCGAAGTGATGTGTCCGGAACTCCCACCGCTCCAGTATGTCCAGAGCCCGTCTGTCCAGGGGTCACACCAAGGTCAAGAGCCCCGTAGGCTCTATCACTGTCTGCACGCATCAACATCCAGGCACGCGCATACTGGACTGCCCCCTCAAGTCAGGGTCCATATGCGCAAAAAAAAAAAAAACAGTCGACTCCGCAGTTGCAACCTGAACAAAGTACAGGGGCGTCCTCTGCGAGAGAAGCGCAAGGAAGGACAATACAATAATCCCCGGCGAACCGGGGTGGATCCACACCTGAGCGGCGCAGGGGCGTCACCAGGGGTAGCGGCGCGAGAACGGGCAAGAGGGGAAAGGTCCTGCCAGGGGATCCCGTCACGGGCCATCCAGCTGCCAGGGAGGCCGCGCCCGGAATCCCGACAAGGGCCAACCGAGCGAAGCGCGCGCGTGGGCGCCCGGAATCCAGCCAAGGGCTGTCCGAGATATGAAGACCGAAAGAAGAAACGGGTGAGAAACGGACAACAAAAAGATGTAAAACCGGAAGAGACGAAAAAAACAAAATACAAAAAACAAGAATAGAAAATAGTCCCGACGAACACAAATGAGGAAAAAAAAGAACAACGATAAAACTAAATACAAAAAAACAAAAGGAAAAAGAAAAATCAAAAAAACGACGAAAAAAAAAAAAACAAAAATAGAAACAATAAAGAAAGCGAGAGCTGCCCGGTGGACTGGGCCCCGTCACGGGCTGTCCAGCCACCAGGCTGTCCGCAAGAGCTCCCAAAGGCTCCTGCGGACACTGCCAGCAGGATGGCCTCCAGACGGCCCTGGAAGACCCCAAGACAGCCCAGGAGGCTCCCAAGACGGGCCCAAGAGGGGCCCAGAGGGGGGAAACGAAGGGGCACTGGGAGCCTTTCCCTCCGGGCCCCCCCCAAGAGCCCCAGCATGCCCCCAAGAGCCCCCAAGGGGCCTCCAAGAAACCCCTAAGAGGACCCCAGGAGGCTCCAAGAAGCCCTCAGGAGATATCCAAGAGGCCCCCGGCATCCCGAGAGACCCCAACAGGCATCGAAGATGCCTCTGGCCCACAACCCAGGCTCGGTGGCGGGACGAGCCGAGGGCCCCTAATCCCACCAGCCCTCTCGGCGTAGGTGGTTTAAGGAACTGTGTCTCTCTGCCAAAACCTCCTCCTTCCCCTGCTCGGGGGAGGGGTTTACCCCCCCCCCTACCCCCTCCCCTGGACCTGGGGGGGGCGGGGGGGCGAGGTGGCAGAGCGCCCTTTTCGGCCCAGGATGGGTCCAAGAGGGACTCAGAGAGCCCAAGATGGCCCCCAAGATGGCCCAACATATCTCAATATGGTTCAACATAGCCTCCGACACGCATCCAAGACGCCTCAAGATGGCCCCGACACGGTTCCACGCGCCCTCCGAGCTCTCGAAGTACGCCCCCAAGAAGCTAAAACCATTGAAAAAGCCGGAGGAAAATCACTGTTGTATGCCTTCTCGCCGTTTCGCCTCCGGTCGGCCCTTGAAGCCTCAAAATGACCCCAAGACGGCCCAAGAGAGCCCCAAGAGGGGCCCAAGAGGACCCCAAGAACCCAAGAGAGCCCCAAGAAGACCCTAAGAGGGGGGTCCGAATAATCGCCGCCCCTTTTTTTGAACGATGGAGCCCACGACGGCCCCAAGAAGCCTCCCAGACCCCCCCGAAGAGCCCCAAGAGGGCACCAAGACCCAAGAGAGCCCCAAGCGAGCCCCAAGAAGGCCCAATCGCGGGGTCCGACTAAGCACCGCCCCCATTTTTGAGCGATGGGGCCCACGACGGCCCCAAGCGGCCTCCCAGACCCCCCCCGAAGAGCCCAATAGGCCCCCAATACCATCCAAAAGAGCCCCAAGAGAGCCCCAATAAGAACCTAAGAGTACCCCAGGAGAGCCCCAATATTACCCCAAGATGCTCTAAGCTTACAGGAACCCCTCACAACATTGCATCCCGAAAGTCACCGACTCACCTGGTAATCGTTTCTGGATGGGCTGGCGGGGATGCGCGAAGCGTCAAGAATTTGTTCCCATCATCCATCCGTCGCAAATACATCCCGCCTGCTCTGAACCGCATTGTTGGGACAACAAATGCATCAAAAAACAAGCTGCGTCCACTGCTCGCAGTCGTCAGCGCTGCGCGGCCTTCGCCACATCCTTGAACTCCAGGAGCGCGCCGCGCGCCGCCTGAGCATCAGCCGGGTTCTCTGTGGAGGACAGCTTGTTGGGAACACCGGGGCTCCCGACCCCCTGGGCCATCGAGTTGTAAACGTCCATCACCTTGCTGGTCGGCACCGATGCGACCGCCTTCCCGAGGCCCGCATTAATGGGCGCGAAATCTGACTGCAACAGCACGCCCTTCGCGTCCATGCCCCCGATGGCCTTCACATGCGCGATATCGGCCTCCTTCAGGGAGGCGCCATCCATGGCCGCGCCCATCGTGATCATATTGCCGATGGCCTTGGCGACCTTCTGCGGATCAGCTCCCAGGGTGGGTTTCGAATACAAGTCCGAGGTCCAGTCGATATCCTCGACGAAAGGGTAGGCGGCGGCAGACAGCTCGTCCGCGGCCGCCGCGATGGAGCTCGCCGCGCTGCCGGACACAGAGGACGTAGGAGCAGACGGAGTGATGGGGTTAGCCTTCACTACCTGGGTAAAATCGATGAAGGCGTTGTAGGCCGCCCTCGCGTCGGACTCCTTCACCGTCGACATCAGGCACGCTGGAACCTTCGGGCCCATCAGGCCCCCGACGGCGCTGTACACGCCCATGGTCGTGGACTCGGGCACGGGCGCGATCATGCGCCCGAGCGCGGCGTTGATTGCCATCAGCTGGGCCTCCGATCACACGCCGCTGGCTGACAGGCCCGAGATGGCCGAGGCGTGGGCCTCAGCGCCCGCCTTCAGAAGAGTTGGCAACCAAAATGAGCGCCCATATCGATCATCTTGGCGATGGCCTTCGTGTAGCCGATCGGGTCCGCAGACCCGGCTGGCAAATTGTACGAACCCGAATTCCACGGCACCTCCTTCATGAAAGGGTATGCCGCCTTCGAGAGCTTGGCAGCGGCATCTCCGATCGCGTCCGCGTGGGCGTTCCCGGCGGCGCCCAACACGGCCGCCGCGCACGCTGCCGCGGGCGCGCCGGGCTTCCCCGCCGGCGCCGGCACGAAGACCGTGCTGCGCAGCATGGTGGCTGCCACCGCAGCCACGATGAGGGCGACCCTGCGCTGCCGGGCCATCGCGCTCGGGCTAAAGGGCCAAGAGAAACGCCTTGTCGGATTCGGGCGCGGCAGCGAAGCCGAAAGAAACTTTGAGCCCAAGACGGCCCAAGGTGGCCTCAAGGCACGGTCCAAGAGGGCCCCAATCACCTGCCAAAAGGGCCCAAAGACGTTCCGAAAAGGCAAAATATCACGGGGAAACATTAAGTTGTCGGCGTGTTCTGGTTGTAGACGGATTGACTTCCAAGACGTCCCAATATGGCTTCCAGGCACCCCCCCAGGCGCCCCCATATAGCTCCAAGATGGGCCCAAGGCGGCCTCCAGAGGCCCTCAGACGCCACCGACGTCGCCCAAGATTGCCCAACAAGGCCCCGATTGGCCCCGAAGATGCCCCAATATTCCCTTTGATAAAATCCCCCACCGTTGTTTGCAGTGGAATGTTAGAATGATTGTTGATTGTCTGGTAGGGTTTCTGTAATTTTCAAGGAGCGCGCCCCTCAGTGCCCGCGGGCATGGGTAGAATACCACCCCCTACCTTTGCCCTCTGACGTTCTTTTCGGCCTCTAAACGGCTGCGCGAAGGCCAAAGACCGCCCTAAAACAACTGAAACATTTTCCAATACCAGCCCAAGGCGGCCCAACGATCGCCCACGGCTCCAGGATGCACCGAAGAGGCCCCAAGATGCCCCAATACGCCCCAGTGACTGATGCCGAAGAAACAAAAAACAGTGGAAAGGCTTAATCAGTAATGAATTAAATTGTCATTTGCTTCCGAATCGATTCGGCTTCGGATCGCGTCGGGGAAAATTCAATGATCCACCGACCCCCGCTTGCCGGGGCTGCAAAGGCGTGTGAAATAATTAACTATCCCCCTCCCCATCCCCCCCTCCCCTGGGGTCCAAAATCTCATTCTAAGGGCGGGGAGGGGGGGGGAGGGGCACGAGCTCCCCGACGCACTCCGGGGCCCCCCGGAATCTCCAAAAAGCCCCCAAGACGGGCAAGAGAGACCCAACAGGCCCTCAAGACGCACCAAGAGGGCCCCGAGTGGCCGAAAGCTCGCTCCAAGACGCCCAAGATGACCTCCGGACGGCCCAAGAGGCCTCCAAGACGCCCCAAGAAGTCTCCCAAGAGGACCCCGAGAAGCAAAAATCAATGATTTTCCTGTAAATGTTGCTTTTGACTGTTTTTTGACTTATCTCTTTTTCGGTTTTCCGACGCTCCAAACCAGCCCAAGAGGCTCCCACGATCGCCCCAAACCAGCCCGAAAAGCTTCCAAGACGCCCCAGGGATGGCCCGAGAGGGCCCCAAGACGGTCCAAGAAGCAGCCAAACAACCCAAGAAGGCCCCAACACGGTCCCGAGAAGGGCCCAAGAGGGGGACCACGAACCGACAATTTGAGCTTCCCGCCCAGAGAAGGCCCCAAAGAAAGGCCCCAAGAGAGCCCCAAGATGCCCCAAGAAGCTCCTTAGAGACCCCCAAGAAGCACCAAGAGCGCTCCAAGAGCCCCAAAAGAGGACCCGAAACGGCCCCCAAGAAGCTTCAAAACTTGCTCTAAGAAGCCCCCGAGAAGCTTAATTACCACGATATCCCAACGAACACTCAAGAGGCCTCTGACCCACCGCCCCAGCACGGTGGCGGGGTGGGCCGAAGGCTAGTACATGACTTCCACGATCGTCGCAGGCTCTCACTCCTGGGGGGCGGCGGAATGGCGTAAGCCACTTGCATCGTTCCAAGGCCGCCCAAGAAGCCCCCCAAAGCACTCCAAGACGGCCCACGAGGGCTTCAATTCGGCCCCAGACGGCTCCAAAAACACCCCCAAAACGGCCCCAAGAGGGGGGGGGGCCCGAGCCGAGATGTCGATCCCTCCGCCCGAAGAGGCCCCAGAAGCCCAAGAGGCCCCCAAGAGGCTCCAAGAGACCACCAGGAAACCCCAGAGAGGCCCAAGGGGCCCCAAGACTGCCCCTTATGAAGCCCCCCAAACTGCGCCCAAGAGGCCCTGGGAGGCTGCCCACGACACTCCAACACATCTACAAGAGGCGTCACACCCACAATGCAGGCAACGACGTGTTCCATAATGACGCAAACGTCTCAATACGTGATGCTGATTGCTATCTGCCCCCGCATGATGTTCCCAGATGATCCAAGACAGAGCGCCCAGACACACCGACGCGTCCCTGATTTTTCCCACTCTGGTAGAGAGGGGGCGAAACCTTCACGGATAACTACTCCAGGTGGGCGCCGGAGGCGGAAGAGCCGCTGTGAAAGATGTTCAAGTACTCTTCGGACAAGTCCTGCCCAGTCTGTAGTTCCTTCCCGGGCGGGAGCAGTAAGCACTCGGCTGCGACCAGCGCCCGAAAGGCTCCGGAATGCACCGCCCTGGGTAAGCGGCAAGGAATAAGTTGGAATGGTCGCCTTGGTCGAGCCTGCTCTTCAGCGGGAGCGGCTTTCGGTCAAAATGGCTTGAGCGTGCATGGCTACGGACTGCTGATGTCGATGCTGTGAGCGATTGGCAACCTTTGCTAGCGAGTTGACAGAACGGAAAGCCGAAAGAGGCGTGACACTGCACACAAACGTGCAAGTGCTTACGAATGCTCGCGGTGTGGAAGCACTAGAAAGGTGCTGCCCCTGAACAAGACTGCGTTGTAACTAAACAAGCTGGTTCAAACAAAGTAGGAAGGAGTGGGCGCGATCGGCCAGTGTGTAGTGAGAAATGGGCCGTGGGCTTGATGAGCGCGTGGGCGTTGTATTGTGTAATCATTTTATGCGTTGCGCGTTCGTACTGTGTGCCGTGCTGTATCGAATTACGGAGATCATACGGCGCTGTAAAATATTCAAAGGAATCAACGGGGCGGCGCGTAATTGACGCACCGTGCCACGCAACTATGCACCACAGGGCGCCGCGCAGCCGAACCACAGCACCGCATAACCCAAGACATAGGAGGAGAAGGCATAGAGGAAGCAAAGGCGCTGCTCAGGACACCAGCGCAGAGGAGGAAATATTTAGGACTCGATCGATACCTCGCAAGTCAGAAGCCCGACCCAGTCAGGCAGCGGACGAGGCAAAAGGGACGGGAACAGAAGGCTGAGGAGAGAGCTTTGGCGAGGAAAGGTGTCATCGCGGCAGTCAGGAACCTGAGGTCTGAGGGCTACTCCGCGGGGCAGGCGTGCAGCATGACCGCGGTGCCTAAGGTTGGTAACAAGAAGGCCAAGAAGACGCAGCTCTTAAAGTCAGAGGTTAGGAAACAGAAAGTGCTTCAGGCTCTGGCGAAGCAAGCCTGGCAGGAGTCCAGGTACTCAGAAAGAAACAGTGGCGCCTTATATGTTTTGTAGAATTGGCCACGCCGCCTAAGACATCCTCGCATTTCTTAATAGAATTGGCAAACTCGCCCGAGACGTCCTCGCATTTCTTAATACATTTGCCAAATCGCCTGAAACATCAGTTGTTCCTTGGGCCTCTCAGCCATGTATGGTTGTCAGGAGTAACTGTCTACCATTGGTGTCTTCCGACGATTACGGCGACGACGAGCACGACCTGGCTGTCGCGCGGATATTTTTGTTTTGGCCGGGTGCTAAGATCACGCCACGGTGGGGGGTGGGGGCGATGCCCTCGGGTGGACCACCCCCTACGACGGCCGAAAAAAAAACGCATTTCTCTAAAGCATTTCCAATGGAAACCTCATCGGGGGGAAAAAAAAAAAACACGGATCATAACAAAGAGTAGAGAAGGAAGAAAAGGAAATCGCTTGAAACATCATCACACATCTTAGTAAAATGACACAAATCGCCTGAGACATACTCGCATTTCTTCTTAGAATTGGCCAAATCGCTTGAGACATCCTCGCATTGCTTAGCAAAATTGTCCAAATCGCCTAAGCACCCTCACATTTCTTATTAAGATTGGCCAAATCGCTGGAGACATCCTGACATGTCGGCCCAATCCCCTGAGACATCCTCGCATTTCTTTGTAAAATTGGCCAAATCGCTTGAGACATCCTCACATTGCTTAACAGAATTGCCAAAATCGCCTGAGCACCCTCACATTTCTTATTAGAATTGGCCACATCGCTGGAGACGTCCTCGCATGTCATAATAGAAATGGCCCAATCCCCTGAGACATCCTCGCATTTCTTTTTAGAATTGGCTGAATCGCTTGAGACATCCTCACATTGCTAACTGCCCAAATCGCATGGGCCATCCTGACATTTCTTAGTAGAATTTGCAAACTCGCCTGAGACATCTTCGCATTTCTTAATAAACTGTGCCAAATCGCCTGAAACATCAGTTGTCCCTCGGGCCTCTCAGCCACGTCACGGTTGTCAGGAGTAACTATATACCATTGGTGTCTTCCGACGATTACGGCGACGACGAGCACGACTTGGCTGTCGCGCGGATATTTTTGTTGTCCGGGTGCTAAGATAACGCCACGGTGCGGGGCGGGGGCGATACCCTCGGGTGGACCACCCCCTACGACGGCCGGAAAAAAAAACGCATTTCTCTAACGGATTTTCAATAGAAACCTCATCGGAAAAAAACAAGCGGATCAGAACAAAGAGTAGAGAAGGAAGAGGAGGAAATCGCTTGAAACATCCTCGCACATCTTAGTAAAATGACACAAATCGCCTGACACATCCTCGCATTTCTTCTTAGAATTAACCAAATCGCTTGAGAAATCCTCACATTGCTTAACAGAATTGTCCAAATCGCCTGAGCACCCTCGCACTTCTTATTAGAATTCGCCAAATCGCTGGAGACATCCTCGCATGTCTTAATAGACTTGGCCAAATACCGTAAGACATCCTCGCATTGCTTTTTAGAATTGGCTGAATCGCTTGAGACATCCTCGCACTGCTGAACAGAATTGTCCAAATCGCATGGGACATCCTGGCATTTCTTAATAGAACTGGCAAGCTCGCCTGAGACATCTTCGCATTTCTTAATCAACTTTGCCAACTCGCATGAAACATGAGTTGT